TTGGGCTCCAACATAAGACTCCGCGTGTAAAAATCATCCTCGTCTTGGCCAACCTGCATGATTTGTGCTCGCAAAAACGCCATCACCTCGGAGGATTCCATCACCAAAATGTTGGCATAAGCATTGGGATTTTGAAAGCGTTGAATCTCGGCAATGATGCGCTCCGACCTCATGTACTTATCGAAATTGATCAATTTTTGGGATGGATCCATGCTGCTTAGACGATGCGCCGGATTGCCTTCCCAAATGAAGGTCAAATCTTGCAGATACACACCCAGGAAGGGGATGCACGCGTCGCTGTAAATCTCACGTATACGCTGACGATAGACCGAAAAGTTGTGGTGTGGATCGGTCAGCTGTACAAGCTTTCCAAACAATTGCTTGTGCTTGGCAGCAACATGGGACCATGCACGTTTGAGGCGTGCAATGGCAGCCGATTCCAAGGCGCCTCGAATAGCCATGAGAGTATCGTAATTGTTGAGGTGAGCGCATGCCTCGGCCGTCTTGATGTAGTATTTGAGCAAGGAGGCACGTCTCTTGGTCTCGTGCATGTTGAGGACGCTATCCGTTACCCACGCGGTGATTTGCGTGTTCAGATTGGACAGTGCCTTGACATTGACGGCTGCCGAATCGGGACCTTTCTTACTGAATTCCAACCCCACTAATTCTCGTGGTCGAATAGCACAAAAGACGCGATGGGATAAGAGGGTGAGCTGTCTGGCTGTCTCGGTTGGCTCGACATCCATCAGGCTGAGATGTGCTCCATCCACGTATTTTCGTAAGTGGAAGGACAACATCTTGTTCAACGCGAGCGTGGATTCACTCGAAAAGATCGAGGCTGACGGTGGATTCTCGGCACTAGGCGACACTTGTCCATTTGTTGTTGTCTCGGAAGAGACTTTGGCAGATAGACTATCCAGTCCATTTTGAGCAAGCTCTGACTCGGAGTCAATGGTGGGAGGCGCGGGTACACTGCTCGCAGAAGAACGACGACTTTCTGTCCAGCTGGCATCGCTGAGCGATGTGCGAGAGAACCGGCGTGAAGAGTTTTTGGACGATTCAGAAGGTATAGTTGATATGGTGGATTCAGATTTGGGTTCGCCGGAGCGATCGGTAGCTTTGATGACATTTTTGACAAGCTCGGCCATTCGTGGAGCTGGGCCAGGTAGTGCTTCTGTCAGTGGACCAAAGATAAATACCAGCAAGCAATCTAGAACTACAGAGTCCGAAGGTTGCCAATGTGCATCTAGCCAAGTCTTTATCATATTGTAGACTCTGAGGCGGACTGGATTCCGGAAGGATTGTTGCCAGGTTGCAATCTCCTCATATGACATGGGCTTCACTGTCGGAACCGATGTCTGGAATCGAGCAATCAATGCTTGCAAGAAGTCTGTTGCGGTTGTGAAGTTTCGAAAATAATGGAAGAATGCCGTAACGAAGAGTGGATCTATTATGATGTAAGTAGCCGCAAGGGGATGTCGCAGAGCCCGAATGCTTACCAGGCGCCTTATCATGCAGAGTCAATCGCTCCACAAGTGCTTCCAATGTGCCGCCTACAACATCACCGGCTTCACTCAATAATAGAGTCTTCCCCAACACATACTGATGCTTCAAATACCAAGGCTGACGAAATGCGATAATGTTATTGAACTGTGATGGATGCTGTTCGGTCTTACCTGCTCGTGGCACAAGCTCTTCAGCAAACCAGCAGACCGACTTCGCACAAGTCTATGCTCTGAATCAGATAGTGGCTCCGTTGTCGGCTCATTGAGTTTGAAAAGGTGCGTGAGATTGACGCTGTGAGTGCGCTTTCGACGGTAACCATTGGAGTGACTTCCGTCTTGCTTTATGGAAGGCACTTCACCACCAATTTCCAGATCATTAACCATATCAGAAACGCTGTTTAGGTTGCCGTGTACTTGCAGATGCGATCTCCATCGCGGTGAGTCTAGGGGACCTGATTCAACTCCGCCAAACTTGGAAGCGACATCCGATGTGAGATGCAGTATTTCTGATGATCGACGTATCATCTCATTGCATCTTCTTTCCAAATCGCGTGTTCTCGCTTCGAGAGCGCTCTTGGATGCCTCCACCTTTGGGTTGCTCTTCAGTTCGGCTTGAGCCCGGATCACGGACCGCGTAGCATCCATAAGAGTGGATGATGCGTCCAACAAACCCTCTTTGGCCCAGAAAGCCATCTCGAGATTGGCATTGACACGTCTATCAGCTGAAAGACGATCAAACTCCTCACATAAGTTTTTTGTTGCATTCAAGAACTCTTGAGCTTTGAGGGTGAATTCATTGGAATCGAAGCAAGATAGGCTTGCTGACCAAGTTTGAGCCAGAACGTCTGAGGCTAGCTGAGTGACTCGATCGGAGAATGGTGCGAGCGCACATTGGGTTTCTCCGTAATCCACAAACAATCGTGTTTCCGGTTGCTTTGATACGCCCAATACATCCTCGAGCTGGACCTTGTAGGCTTGACATACAGTGACAAAGTTTTGGGTATTCACTTTAACGCTTTTGACAAGGTACCGAATTCTCTTGGCCCGCTTGCAAGTCTTCTTTTTCGATTCTTCCTCCGCTGGATCAGCGTTATCCTGCGGAGGAGCAGAAATTGTGTCGACAAAGAGTCGCAGGCTGTAGATGAGCTTGTTGCGTTGTTTGATAACAAGTGGTACCTGGTAAGACGTCGTAGTCAGGCGTAAAAGCCCAGCTGAAGACAGCATCTTTTCAGCCGCGCCGGTGAGATCATGGATGAGCTGAGTCGTGGATAACTGTCGTTCATCGAGATGACCGTCTTCATGAGATACCTTTTCTGCACGATCAATGCTTTGAAACACGTTGTCCTGCAATGTCCTCCACGTTTTCAGAGCGTTGTAGGTCGTTCTGATAGTCAATTGCATATGAGTATCTGGAGGCGCATTCAGTTCGGTTTGTGAGAGAAGAGCAAAGTATGATGCTCGCTTCTTGAAGGTTCTGACCTGAGAACGTGTAAGGGAAGAGTCGGATAGTCGACGCTCAGATAATGTAGATGCTGAGGGGGTTGCTGAATCCATCTCATCGGAGAAGCTCCCGCCATGCGAAGGTCGACGTTGTGAGCTGGAGAGGCTGGGGAAAAGCGATTGTGCGACGCTGTCCTCTGTGTTTAGACGTAATGCTTCCAAATCGGTTGGATTTAGTTCTTCCACATAATTGGACGGAAACCATCCGCGTTGGCCACAACATTGTCCATCCCACCATCCAGACTCTTCTTTGCGCAGAACTTGTATGATTTGATGTTTTCGAAAGCACAGGTGTCGAGAGGCGGATGTGCTTGGTTGATGATAATTGTGCAAGGCACGCACAAACCTGAGTTCATCTTCGACAAACATGGCGTAAAAGATGCGCGTCCTGTCGTATGGTCGAGTTACAAGGACTGCTGTGCGCTTTTGATGACTCCGTGACAGCCGAATTTATGGCCTGGCTAAAGAGTCTACTGTCCAAGCTGTCAGGTGTCAAAGACGCAAAGCGTAAAAGGAGGAAGAAGTAGAGCGTATTCGTTGACGAGTAGCTGGAAGATGTATGCCCTTCCTCATATGCGTTGCATACCAATCACCGCCTTTAGGACTTCTCTGGTATGCACGAAGCCCAAGGCAATGTTTGACTAGTCCGATCGCCTGACCAAATACAGAGTAGGGAGTGTGTTTGTATATGGCGTCAACCAATGTTAAAACAAAAAGATACCGGGTTGAGAGTTGCGGACAGCGTTACAGGCGAACTTTAAGACCAAATTCGGCCTTCGCCTGCTCCTTTTTCAGGGAGGGAACTCTTAAACGTCAAAGGTATCACACGGACCTGCCTTGTCGCTATGCATATACCACTTTTCAGTGTCAGGCAAACAGGAACAAGCAGGACAGATGACAGGTCAACAAGGTTTGTGATATGTACCGAAATAGATTCGAGTCCCCAAAAAGACAATTCCTGACAACAAAGGCAAACGTTGGGTCGGGTGCTGGATGACTGAGGCACATTACCCAGAAACGAACCCAAATCTTGGAAATGAAATTTCACACCGTAGCACATTTTGGGCCTGAGCGCCTAGGCTCATCAATCAAACAGGGATGCGATGAGAGATGATAAGTGTCGATAAAACAATGGATGGATTTTATTTTGAGAATCGACAGGGAGTGTGTGTCTAATCGAAAAGACCTAATCGGTAGTTTAGTCGCATAACTTGGGGAGCTGGGGGTTGGCACACTTACCGAAGCCCATGTCGTCGTCAGACTCCTCCTTGGCTTCCTCCTTGGGCTCTTCCTTGGCCTCCTCGGCAGCAGCAGCACCACCGGAGGCAGCAGCAGCACCACCAGCAGCAGGAGCGGCACCAGCTAACACGTGTATGTCAAGGACCGCTTCGGAGGCGCGAAATTGATGGACTTACCGGCACCAACGTTGCTCAAAAGAGCGTTAAGGTCTTGGTTGGCAAGAGCCTTGGCGAAGAGAGAGGTCCAGATAGCCTCAACGTCAACACCAGCGGCTTTGGTGAGAGCCTGAAGCTTATCGGCCTGTCACAGCAAGATTAGCCCGTTTCCAGGCACTAAATAGCCATGGCACGATTACTTACGGTGATCTCAAGACCTTCGTCTTGGAGAATCAAGGCAGCGTAGACAATGGAAAGCTCAGTGGAGGCCATTCTAGAAAACAAAGTCAATATTAGTCCCTAATGCTAGTCTTGCCCATGACGATCGATCGCTCAAGCCACCTTCATCCATCCATGTCAATCATCCATCCATTCTTATCCATGGATAAAGAGGGTTATAGTATACCGCAAGCACTCACAAAGAGTCATGCGCTTCCATAGCTAGTCGATGCATGTACTTACGCTATAGTACGTATGAAATCAAAGGGAAGGAATTCTTTGCATCCAAGCAAACGCTTTAGGCGACTCGAAGCTCATCACGTGATATCCATCTTTGGCAACAGCAGTAAAATTCATGGCAGACAGCAGTTGGAGGTACGCCATGTCGACTTTCATGAAGGAGCCTAGCGAGAGAGCGAAGGGAGGTGTCTTGCCTCAGGTGAGTTTTGTCTGAAAGAGCGATCCGATGTCAATCCATAATGGCTCGACTTAACGCATTCCTATTGCAGAAACGCTACTACCGTCAACGAGCGCACGCGAACCCGTTTTCTGATCACATGCTGGACTAGTCAGTATGGTTGCTCATGCGTGGGCGGGAACTGAACCCAACTTGCTTTCTAGTCCCATCAATCCGTCCACGATGGACTGGTCTACCCATTATCCTGCGTTTGTTGAGGAAGCCAAGGAAAACGACTCGCTGGTCAAGTCTGTGCCAAAATTGCGATCCAAAGTCGAGTTCGCGGATATTGGCTGTGGTTATGGTGGATTGTTGATTGCGTTGGCGCCTTTATACCCAGACACGTTAATGTTGGGTAAGTTTGATATCATGGCATGAATGATACTCAAGCGTTCGTCAGGCATGGAAATCAGAGTCAAAGTGCAAGAATATGTGTATGAACGGATACATGCCCTGAGGAAGCAACATCCTGGACAATATGAAAATGTGTCTATCTCGCGAATGAATGCCATGAAGTTTCTGCCCAACTTTTTCGAAAAGGGACAGGTGAGTATCCTAAGTTATCCATCTGCATAAAGACTGACATGGTGTGCGCTTGATCCTCAGCTTTCGAAGATATTTTTCCTCTTTCCTGATCCCCACTTCAAGAAAAAGAAACACAAGGCGAGAATCATCAGGTAAGGCATATGTTCTTAACAGCGGGTGTGTGCTAATCCTATCGTTCAAACAGCTCCACATTGCTCGCTGAATATGCCTATGTCTTACGGGTAGGAGGTATATTGTATGCGATCACAGACGTAAAGGATTTGAACGAATGGATGGTGAAGCATCTGGAAGAGCATCCTCTATTTGAAAGACTGTCTCCAGAAGAGGAGGTAGGTCCTTTCTAACGGCGTCATGAAGGATAGTGTTGACACACGCAAAGGAGAGCGATCCGGTGGTGCCATATGTACGTACGTCCACGGAAGAGGGCAAAAAGGTGGAACGAAATCAAGGCGATAAATATCTTGCTTGCTTCCGAAGGATAGAAGATCCGCTTCGAAAGTAGAAGCATGCTGATCATCTCTTTTCAAAATATCGGGACTGTACATTATAAGCTCTCTTCTATACACCTAAACCGTCAATGGATAGCTGTCCTTTTGCCTTGTCAAGGAAACATCTAAGCTTCCACCTTGGTCGCAATCTACTTCTTGCGAAGCTTGCGACCACGCGTCACCGCGCTTTCCTTTTCCTTTTCCTTCTCTCGTTCTTTCTCCTTTGAGCTGCCACCACGCGTCCGTCGAGTGCTTATATGCTTCTCCTCTCCTTTGTCAGTTGGTTCAGGTGTAACCTTGGAGCGAGAGGCCTTTGATTGGGCTCGACGCGTGGTCTTGCTCGGTTTCTTTTCATCTATACGCGTGTTCGCATTACAAGGCATGTCCAGGAGGCGTGGTTCCTTCCACCTACCTTCTTCTCCCTCGGATGCACTACCGGAAGCCGACATTCTCGAATCAGGTGACGCTTCCTTATTTCTTCCCGTCGTGGAACCGGAACCCGTGCGGGGACGTCTTGATGCTGGTGGAGAAGGTGAATTTTGACGCGACGAATGATCATCTTGACGGTGTTCCGATATCAATTGCTCATATTCATCGAGCGGTAGAGTGAACTCGTGAAATTGACTGGGATCAAACAGGCGTTTGCGTAATCGGTTTTCGAGTGCTTTGAGGGATTCGGGAGAGAGATTGGTGGATGTTTGCGTGCTAGTGCCATTGTTCGCGCTTTTGGGGCTCAACGATCCGTCTTCGTCTTCAGAGGATGTCTCTTCCATTTCCTCCATGGCGTCGACGTCGTAGTATTTTGCAATCTGCGACCGTAACTCCGAGAGTGTGTAGTATGAACTAGACAAGCTGTTGACCGTGTTGTAAATGTTGAGCATTCGAAAGTGCTTGTGTACACCTTATGTCACAGTGGTGAATAGCTAGGACTTGGAGTATAGAGCATCTGTCATCCATTAACTTACCGACTGGCTTGTTGCGAGCTAAAGCTCTCAATAACACGATTTCAGTCTTTGTGTCCCAGTCTGAATGACCCTTCAAAGGCTCCATAGTATGTCCATGTTCTGTATGGGTCGGTTCCTGAGGAAACCAAAACTTGATTTCTGGCATGATGGAAAGGCTAACGCGAGCGGAAGATGAATTAAAGGATTTCGTTTCAATGTCACGTCTACTTCATATAACTCTACAGTTGCAATCCATGTCTAGGATGTAATGGTCGTTTCTTGGCATACATCTTCATAGGATGGAAGCTCACTAACATCTAAGGTAGCGGAATATTTGCGACGGATCCAGCCGGTTGTCAATTGCTTAATCTTTGCAGTGGCTGATTGTCTTCGACTCATCTGAGAAAGGCCACTAATCGAAGCTAAGGAATATCGCGAGTCTCGTGAGCTTGCTAGGGAATTGTATGATGCATTTGAATGCGCGGAAGCTGGTGTGAGTGATGTCTCTGAGCTTGAGTAGGAAGGAAGTGTGAGAAAATCGTTTACGCCATTGTTTGCGACAATGTGGATGGGAGCCGTCAAGCGAATATTTTTTCTCACTTGTTTGCCATTGTTGTCAGGGTGTGGATAGGAAATGCAAAAGCTGATGTTGATCCAATGCTGTATCCTGATGTGGGAAAATAAGGTCGAATGATGTAAGCCGTCGGCATTAAATGTTTTGGAAGGGTGAAATGTCAACGTGTCTTCGTACACAGGAAGTATAGAATGCATCGTGTCCAGCGTGTAGTCGAGTCTTCCACTTTTCCTGTTAAGCTGTGCCAACCGATATCGACGAGCGTCAATGCGTACAGAACCTTCCGCATCTGCGCGTCGAAACACACGCTTCTCGCTGATGGAACTCCGTATAAATTCAATGGTCATATACTTGTGTTCTGACACGATCTTTGCGTAGATGGTGACCGGCGCACCTTTTGTCAATACGTTTTGGTCAATCCAAAAGGTGTATTCGCATAGGTCAGGCAGTCGACGCGAAAATACGATGCCTTCACTTCTGCCGTCTTGTTGTAGAAAGCATGGTGGCGGCAGTTTCGTCAAAATGATTTGGCGTCCTGTCCGACTCGTATGGCATAATGACCAAGAAGGTGACCTGTAACGAATAAATGTGGAGAGAGTATAAATCACGGAAGCTACATCGCATTCAATCGTCTCCGGCAAATTGTCTGGAAGTGTGAGCTCAAAATCAAAGCTGTGAAAGTCGTCGTTGAGCAAGATGGATCCGTCGGCAGTATGGGCCTTGGGTGGCAGTAATGACAGTTTGCGTCTAGACTCCGTTGAGGTGGTGAAGGGATAAAGCGGGATCGTTTGGTCAATACACAACCACACATCAGAAGTGGAACGCTTGCGCAGGCCAAGAACTGTCGGATACCGTCGGTCAGACACCATTGTACGTCCAGAGCCCCTAGGCCAAGGTTGTATGTATGCTTACCTTCCGGCCACTTTGTCTGCACCATGCCCACTATTTTAAGCACAAAAGACTCTACGAGCACGGGCGCCTTCAACCGTAACACGACAGAACCGCGCAGAACACTGCTAGCGTGCAAGCCATAGTGCATAAATACGGTGTCGCAATCTAAGTCAATGGACAGTTCGTTCAGTCTGCCCAACATAAGAAAGAGTGAATCCATATATCCGCGACACCATCGTTCTAATCATATGCCCGTGGAGAGCAATTTCGGGAAAATCGTTTGCGCGCACTGCGGTGCCTGCCCCCTTTCGTGACCAAACTCCCCTTCCAGTTGACCTTTTTGACATGAATATGAGGGACATTGAGCTGTCATACAATTGGTAACGCCATGGCGGGTTCACTTGAGATCGGAAACATCCGTAACGCGCGCTTGAGCGCTTGCTTTGTCGCACCTCACGGTAATAATCTGAACTGCCGATCCATCAGATTTTTGATAGGCTCATGGTGTGTAGCCGGTCCCCCGCGCGCCCCTCCCCTCGGGCTGTTCATTCAGGGCAAATGCATGCGTTGTTCGGCTGATCATAAAGCCATAGAGATGGATAATCCGTGAGACGGGTTCATGGAATAGACAGGTGCACGCTTGGGCATGGCATGGTCCTAGCTTGTCATCGTGGGACGTCTTCTCCGCAGATCTGTCACACCTTTGTGGCTGGAATGAAATCCTTGTCCTCCGCCAATGAAGTAACTTTTGTTCACGTGGCACGAAAACGGTTAGGGAATGAAGCTCATTGGACTTACTGGGGGCATAGCGTCAGGCAAGTGACTTGTGAGCACATGTGGTACAGTCCTCGGTGGCCATTGTAGGCACCGAGGCACTGCACCTCTTCATGTGACGGACAAGAGCTCATGACTAGGAATGTAGGCAAGTCAACCGTGTCGCGCTATCTCGCCGAGAAAGAGGGCCTGCCCATTGTCGATGCGGATCTTATCGCTCGTCAAGTTGTAGAACCAGGCCGTACAGCTTACAAAAAGATTGTGAAAGCTTTCGGAAGGGGAATACTGAATGATGATGATGCAAAGACCATCAATCGAGCGAAACTAGGCGAGATTATCTTTGCAGATCCAGCGAAGCGTAAAATACTCAATGCTTGCACTCATCCTGCAGTCCGGTGGGAAATGCTTCGTCAAGTCATTCTATGGTGGATCAAAGGCGCCAAAATGTGTGTTTTAGATGTGCCTCTGCTCATTGAATCCGGCATTCATAAGTGGGTCAATGTGGTGGTTGTCGTCTTTGCGTAAGTGGATTATGGCGAGCGATGTAGTGTTCAGAATCATCTGACCTTCTCACTATCATCAGGTCAGAGCAATTGCAGCTACAGCGGATAACATTACGAGACAATCTACCACGAACACAGGCATTGCAGCGTATCCATGCGCAAATGCCCCTCAAAGAAAAAGCAGAGCAGGCTCAATACGTGATTGACAACTCGGGTGACCTAGAGGAGACGTATCGGCAAGTACGAGACATTGTAAAGAAGACAAAACCCAGCACACCGCGATGGCTACTCGAATGGCTCGGTGGCCCTTTGCTAATAGGCCTCATGTCAGCATGGCTTGCCACGGGGGAAGGGGCGAGATGGAAGTGACGTTGAACCCATAGACAATCCTTCACTTGATCTCGGATGTATATCCGATGCTCCTTTTCGTAAAAGAGATAAACCATCCACAACTCGAGACACTGTTGCGCCTCCATCTCTTCAGATGTTTCAGCAGATATCAAACTAAACCCATTCGAATTCGCGGGACTCGTAGGCATACCAAGGCATGCAAAACAGAGTCACCATCATTCTCCGACGTAAAATGCTTACGTATGGTTCCGTCAACTACGCTTAACTATCATCATTGAGATGGAGACACATTGTGTCAATAGCTGTTGATGCCAAGTCGGTGCGTCAGGAGCGTTTTCAGATTGAAAACTAAAAACAACTCACACGGATGCAAGTCGGTTGCCTCCTTTCGAGAATTGTTGCTCATTGTCTACATGACGCTACAACTGACACGACTCGACAGCAAGCGTCGCTCTTCATCAGATACCTGTTCAATCTTAGCAAGTCATCACGGGCAGCATATGCCTAAGTGCTCTCCTCGCTGTGCTTGAGGTGTCATCCAGTGAAAAAGTCGGTCACTGAATTTTTTTTTGTTCATGGAAGAGCACAAGGCGCATAGAGCCAAGCAAGCTGGCGTCAAGCATGACCGCAAGAAGGAGAAGCATGTAAAGAACAAGGAGAGAAACAATCCTAGGGTATGTTTGCTTTCATAGAGCGGGAATAGAAGAGGATGAGGTGCTCATTCGACAATGTGTGCACTGTAGGCATTTACCTTTCAAAGCGCTGGAAAGGCAGAAAAGACTGCACGAAGGAATGCTGATCGAGGAGAGAAAAAGCTGCATGTGCCGCTGGTTGATCGGACACCTTTGGAGGCTCCGCCAGTTGTAGTTGCTGTCGTTGGGCCACCGGGCGTAAGTACATTCGATCTACGATAATACCAATGGTCAAGGATGCTAAAGGTCGTTGTCCAGACTGGTAAATCAACTCTAATCAAGTCG